AGATAACTTTTTGATGACTATTGTTCTGAACTCTGATTGTTTTGATTGATTCTTGGATAACACATCAAACCACTCAAAAGCAATATTACTAAGATTGTTAATGAAGTGTCATGGAAACAAAGCATCATTTTCTCCACTGTTATTGCAAACAGCCTTGAATTGGGCAAGTTGTTTGGGATTTTTGGTATCAGAAAAAAATGCTGAATTTAGACACAACATTCCCCTCAAGATATTGTACTTGATCATACTTGGCTTTGAATGGTTGATGATTTGCCTTTGCCTACTAAAGCTTCAATAATCTTAAAAGTAATGACTTCTTTGACTTTCTTAGCGTGTAAGTGTTAAATTTATTTTTTATGATCATCTAGACTTTTGAGGGAGTGGTTTGTGTTGTCCCTTGTGAGATTTTAGTCCACTTTCGAGAGAAATTGAAATATTCAGAGTAATAATTTAAGTACTAAATACTCTGATTGTCAAATTGGGTTCTGGGCAATTTTTTGGTTGAGCATTTGTTTGTTGGTGTCCAATTGCCACTATTAAATTAAGCTGACCGAAGAGCTCTTTCTTCATACTGCTCATTTCATTTAGTTTAACATGCAACTGATTGATATCTTGGTTTCTAGCACATGCAATTGATGCTTTGCTTGGTGATGTAGTTAGGTTACAACCTCATTTGGCTAGTCAACTTCTTTGAATCTCTCTTATTTATGAGGGAGTTTATTTTCTTATTAGGTTGATTCAAATTATCTTGAGGCAGCCTTTTTGTTTGTGGATAAATTATTACGTGCGGACGTTGAATGTCATCCGGAGGCCAATCAGAACGCGTCACGTCGTCAATACACAGCTGTGTACTGATGCACAACTGTGTATTGAACCAATACGCAGCTATGTATTGGGTGATTTGACGCATTTTGATTGGCCTCTTAAATTCGGCATTCACACGTAATAATTTCTCCAGTTTGTGAGGTTGGAAATACGTTCGTATTATTCGATTGGCTAGAAACCTATTTGGCAGGTTGTTTGTGTGCATGCTGAACCATGCAAGTGACCTTTGCTACTATATGATCTAGTGCATAGTTTCATTTACCACTAATGTGATAATTTTGATCATCATAAGGAGAATTGTCTTCACCAAATGTGGTTTGGTTGCTCGCTTCTTTAGCTATCAATTCTTCTTCAGGGTGGGAGTGGAATTTACTGTGTATTGTATAGGTTACGTGAGTTTATTTAAAATCATGAAATCCCTCGTTCATTTGTTGTCGAATTTACGTTGGAATTCAAACTTGTCGAGACCTTGCAATTGGCTTGATTAGTTTTTTATGATGGAAGAAGAAAGAAAATTAGTACAATTATATCATTAAGATTTATTTTATGATACTTGCAATCTTTAATATATGGTGAACCCGTGTAGGATAAGAAAGCAAAGGAAAGAATTAGGGTGATTTTTCGAGCTGCTGTGCCTTGTGAATTAGAGCAGGTTTTGCAAGGCAATTGAGCTTTTATCCCTTTTGACTTATTAATTTGGCACGACAAGAGAGTATGCTCTTAAAACCTATCTTGCTATAGCTCATGACTCCGAATCATGTTGTAGGGTTTCAAATCCGTCCTTCTCATAATAAAGCCAAAAGGAAGGGAAGGAAAACTACATTGAACTTGGGATATCATTCTTTGTCAATTGTCGATATGAAATGACCTTACCAAACTTTTTATTTATTTATTTATTTTATTTTAATTTCTGTGCAAGTATTTTTCTATTATGTATAGCAACGCAGACCAAAACCAGCATATTTGTGTTTGATTCCTTTAACTCCACTTATGACCAGAGTTGCTAGTAGAACAGCAGATACGAGTTGGATTGCACATTTCATTTGGAAACTAGATGGAACTTCTAGCAATAAAGAATATGTTCCTATTGCAACTATGAATGTATATGCTAGTTTTTGGATGTATTTATGCACATGTTATGTTGGAACTGAAGCAACTCCCTTATTAGCTGTTTGTGGCTTCCCTATTTATGAATTTCTGACATGAATTTGTAGTAGACTTTCAAACATAATATATTTCGCTTGAAAATTTTGATTATGATGCTAGCACCTGTGAATTTATTGAATTTGTCTTGGTGAAGGTTGAAGAATTTTTGTAAGTTGGTACATGTCTACTAATTTGTTAGTTCTTCTTGTCATTTGAATTCATTTAGACTTATTAGATCCTATTTAGTTTTCATAATAAAATAAACATATTTATTCTTTCTTCCCGGCATGCACACTGCTTTGTTCCTCGCTAAATTCTTGAATTCTAGTTTCTCATACTCCGCTGATTTTTGTGGTGCAGGGGAGGCTCAACCCATGAAGTGGCCAATGCGATTGAGGGTTGTACTCTATCTAGCAGAAGCCTTAGAGTATTGCACTAGCAAGGGTCGTGCTCTTTATCATGATCTTAATGCTTATAGAGTCCTATTTGATGATGTAGGTGTCAAATTTCTTAGTACGCTTCTCAGCATTCCCGCATAAAGCATGAGCTTCTTTATCTCTCATCATTGATTAGTATGTTATAGGATTGTAATCCTAGGCTTTCATGCTTTGGCCTAATGAAGAATAGTCGAGATGGTAAAAGCTACAGCACGAATTTAGCATTTACACCTCCAGAATATTTGAGGACAGGTATTTCCTTTCTCGCGCTTTCTTTTCTTTTTAATGTAAAAGAAAACATAGGATTCTTGGCTAATGCAAGTGTTCTCCACGTTATGATTTTGAAATTTCTTCCTAAAACTCACGTCATAAAAAATTATTATTTTGATTGTTGTCATAAAAAGAAAAGGAAAGCACAATTGGTTAAATTTAATGTTTTATGCCTTTTTTCTAAATCATTATGATTATTAACTCATGAATTCATTTAAAGGTGAACTATACTATTTTTTGATTCACAATGTCTACAAATCACCTAGCTACAATTCTTATTAAAAATCACCTAGCTACAATGCTTAATTTTATATCCAAAGATTTTAAGCACATCGTCATCATTGTAATTAACCGCAGTAACCTCTTTCAAAGCATATTTTTGACCATTTGTAGATTTTTCTCACATTATTGGCGATGATCGTCAATAGAGTTTGAACGGTTAGAAGAGGGGGTAATCATCATGCATATGGGATGTCATACGCTATAGGGATTTCTTTCATGAAAATGACTTCATAAATAAATACTTTTTTAAATGGTTTTAGCTAGATAATTAAGTGCAGAGGGAAATAATCTCGATTTAACTAAAAAGGTTAAGCTGCTGGCTGTTGACCTCCAATTGCAATTAGAACATTGAGCATGTTTGTGGTGATATTATGCACTTAATGATAATAACGATTTGAATTATGGTACAGTTGATTGACGATTTTTTTTTTTGTTGTGGTTCTTCATCTCTTCTTTATATTTGGTGTAGGCAAGCACCAATGTTCGCAATTAATGTCAAAGAATTATTCCTCTTCTTGAGAGGAGTTTTTCGAGCCTAATGAATCACAAAGAGATGGAGTGTAATGAGTGTACACACCAATTGGGTGAAATCCTTACGAGTTTATTGAGTCTCAACTTGAATCTTTTGTCACAAACCTTTACGTCTGACTAGGTCATTGTCAAACAGTATCGTGTCATTAAAATGCCTTCTCCAAAAACAAGGTCATCTATAAATAAGAATAATAATTTATATTAAAAGAAAGTTAATAGTTTAAGGCGCTTTCTTGAAATGATGCCAAATATTACTGGTAGATCTTGAAATGAACTGTGATTTTTATGGGGCAGGGGGTAGTGATAAAAAACTGCTAATACAAATAGAGCCGCCAAACCAGCCTAACCTAAAACTTGAGTTGTATGTTTTTAATGGACAAACAGCAATCAATCGAGATCATTCAGGGCAACAATTTGAACATATATCGAGCTCCCTTTTAAAAAGAAACAAACATTATATAACTTTTGACATGGTAAAAAATTAGACCTGGTATTTCACCTGTTTTGTATATTTTATATAAGATATGGTCAATATTTATTTCTATTCCATTCTTTTATTTTGAATGAAATAGAATGGAAAGTATTTGAAATAGAAAGATAAGAGAATAATTCTACTTATATTTTGTAAAAAGCATTAGGTTGAGATTTATAGCGCAGGTTTTAGTGTACTCATTCAACTAGAGAATAATGCTGACTGATTTAAAAAGTTCTTATATGAGCTGATTTGAAGAAAGAATTTAAGTTGGGTCCTTGTATGCACTAGCTTTTCTCTCGATTGGAGTCGGCTAAAAAAAAATCTAATTCTGATCGCTGTATGCGCTAATCCATGCTTGTGTTCTTTCCCGATGAGAATTTTGCATGGTGATACAGCTGAGTCTATAAAGATGGAATGCCTTTTAAAAGAACTGATTTGTTGTGAATTTTATTTTTATTCGTTTTTCACTTGACATTATCTCATATTTTTTAGCCTTTCATGGCTATTTAAGTTATCAAACTCTTTAAAAAGTGCAGATGAGATTGCTATTTTTGTTCAAAGTTATTCTAAAATGCACATAACATAACGTTTGCTTGATATCTTCTTATTAATTTATGCCTTCATATCTTTACAATTTTTAGGAAGGGTTACACCAGAAAGTGTGATTTACAGCTTTGGCACATTGCTGCTCGATGTTTTTAGTGGAAAGCATATTCCTCCAAGCCATGTGAGTCCATTCCATGTGTTTTATGATTCAGTAATTTATTCCATATAAATTCTTTTACAATTATTATTAAAAAGGTAACTCTTAGATAAGGCATGTTTGTGGTGGGAACTCTAACAGAGCTGTAAGAATGAGAGATTATGATTACATAAACTAAAAAAATTATTTTGTTTCTCCATCGTGATCTGGAGGTCATGAGTTTGAATTATGGGCATAGTCTTTCTCAAATAATATAAGGTAAGATTGCGTACACTATGCCCTTCCTAAAATTGTTATTGGTAACAAAATCTCATGCACTCGGTAAGCTTTTTTATATAATTGTCTGACTTAAAAATGATGATATAAATAAGCATGATCGAAGAATGTTGCTTGCATATCTTAGTTGTATTTGTTGTTGAGATATTTTTGTCCTTCCATGATAAGTAATGAATTTTCAGCAAAATCGGCTGTGCTGAGCTCAGTCAAGCCGGCCTTTTATAAGAAAAAATATGTAAATGTCTTTTTAATCACTTTACATATAATTCCCTTCTGTTGCGGTGGGCAGGCGCTCGACTTGATACGAGATAGAAATTTTCACATGCTGACAGATTCCTGTTTGGAAGGTCAATTTTCAGATGAAGATGGCACTGAAGTGGTGCGCTTAGCTTCGAGGTGTTTACAATATGAGCAACGAGAACGGCCTAATATTAAATTGTTAGTCCTTGCATTGACTCCTCTCCAAAAGGAAATTGAGGTTAGCTTACTGATTTTCTCCCTTCCCATCCTCTGGTTTCGAAACCCCTTTTCATTAATATAAAGAATATAAAGTAAAAAAATAAGAATACAAAACCTATATCATTGTCAATGGTTGAAATCACCTCCTAAATAAGAGATTTATTTTTATTTTTTTGGAATTAATATTATCTGAGTAAATAATATATTATTATAATATTTATATGATATGCTGAGGCATAGATTTCATATCTTCAAATTGTTGGAGCATATCAAGCAAAATTTTGATGCAGATTTCTTACTAAATTTCAATCAATTTTATATGTTTTGAAGTTTAATAACTTGTAACAAGTTTTATAGTAGTTAAACAGTATAATGATTTTATGTAATACTGTTATATTTATTTAATATTGGAATATTACTTATATGATATTACAATATTATCATATCTTATATTATAATATTGACCAGTGTGATAATATTTATATATAATATTATATGTTTTAATTAATATAATACTTAATACATTTTAATGATAAATTTCAAAGAAAATGAAAAAATATTGAAATTTTGCATCAAAAGTCTTCCTTGATACTATGTCAAAAAATTTAAGATTTAACATCTACGATCTCACTATATCATAAAAAATGATGAAGGGACGCCTAGAGTTGAGTTTCATAATTCAACTAATATGATATGTATTATACTTTCATGCTAAGAAAAAATGAGGATTCATAGATCATATATTGCCAATTTACCTAACAACTCACTTGGGTTAAATGAAAATTTAATTTATGAATAATTTATGGTAAAATAATAAAAAATATTTAAGAATTTAAATAATAAACATATAAAATCACTGAGCAAATAGAATTAAATTTCACAAATCAGATTTTCATCTTTACACTTTTTGATCAAAATATAAGCACTAAGCAAGTCAATAATAAATTATCAGTTGAAATAGAACGAGGAATGATTTTGCAAAAGTAAGAATAATTTGTTCTCAAGTCGTTAGAAGTAGATGACTTCCTCATGAATTAGATTGTTACATTTGTACAACACTTGAATAAGAAACTTGTTCTCAAGTTGTTACTAGAAGACGACTTCCTTATGAATTAGATAGTCACTTTTGTACAGCACTGAATCTCACATCCAACTTATATTTATAAGTTTGAAATTAGAATGATACATTTTACTCAAGCCAAAGTTGTTAAATTTCATACCTCAGATCAATTTTTATTGGCTTTTGATATTTCTAGGTTAGTACCATATTGTTGACACAAAAAATTCTATTAGGTTATAAAAATTCCAAAATTCAAATATTGGTTTTATCTCAAAGATTGCAGTTTAATATGATTTTAAAATTCCTTGTAAATGTAAACAACCCACGTCCAAAGCTTCATATTTGAGTTTTAGTTTAATTCCTTGATGACGGTTGCTGATGTCGCAATCCATTCAAAGATGACCTAGCCATTTAATAACCTTAAGCCTCAATATACGCCTGTGAAGACAGCAAAGCGACCGACTTCTGATAACTACTTTGCCAAATAACAATACAAATTCATATCATCTGTTGAAGCCAAATAAGCTATGCAAACTTTTGGCTGCTGTAACAAGGACCGAAAGTATTGTAAACTGCAGTTTTCACTACGACTTGCCCTTTTATTTGCAGATTTTTGAAATAATTATAGCTAACAAATAGGAGTCTGATTGATTTCACTATAGTGAGTTACCTTTTGGTGCCTTTTTTAATTTAATACCCTAATTCTTATATGTTCATTTAACGCACTATGAATTTGTCACTAGACTTAAATTATGATTCATTTAATGTGAGTATCTTCAAACAATTCTTGTAAATCAACAAATGATGCGAAGTAATAAAATTTTAAAGATGAATATGCATTCCAAGGATTGCTAACAACAGCCTATAAATAAATCTAATAAAAAGATAATCTAATGAAGTTGCAAGTAGACTATCCTTATAATTATGGTATATTTATATGGGCGATCAACTTCAATAAAAGCGATAAATAACAAAAAAGTCTTCTTACTCCTTATGAAGGACCAAAATGGTCCATGACTATTTAGAAGTTTTATTTAGTCACTCGGTTTTTTAAATAGAGACCTAAATAATCCCACAAAGTGATTATTTCAGTTTCTATTTAAATAATCAAGAGACCAAATTGATACATTTGTATAGTCGATGACTATTTTGATCATTCAGAAAAAGTTAGGCGACCAATTTAATTATTTTCTCTTGAAGAAAACTAACTCAAATGGCTTAAATATGAGTTTTGATGAATTAAGCTCCTTTAAAATAGACCAAATGGATACAACAACATCAAACCTTTATCCCACTTCATTGAGTCAGCAACATGAATCCTTTTTCTCGATTGTGTCATAACAAATTCTCATTTATGTCTAATAAAAAAATATTATTTGTAATACTTTCTAACCAAGTCTTTTTAGATCTATCTCTACCTTTCTTAACATAAGCTAGATCTAATACATCCACTCTCTTAATGGGGTTATCGGAAAGCCAACGTTTTATGTGAACAAACCATCTAAGGTGACTCTCTCTAATCTTATTTATCACTGGAGCTATTCCAACCTTTTCACATATATATTTGTTTTGCATTTTATCTCTAAGTGTAAAACCACCCATCCACCTAAGCATCAGCAGCTCTGCAACACTTCACTTCATGTTTCTCTTTTAATAACTAATATTTTGCATCATAAATCATTGCAGGTCTCACCACCATCTTATTGAATTTTCATTTAAGTTTGAGGGATTCTTTTCTATCACACAATAGGCCTGATGCTTTCCTCAACTTCAACCATCCAATTTGATTTTTACTCATAATATCTCATATATTTCATTAAGATCTGAGATATCTAAAACATGTTGAACGGGCCCAATCTAATGGCAATTTAGCTTTTTAAATTTTGAAAAAAAAGTCCCCCCTTTTAAAAGAATTTGGTTTAAATTTTGGCTTGATTTGTCTTTTGAAGACGTTGGTCTTTAAATGATGTTATGTGCATACTAGATGATCCAGGCTCTATATCTCCTATTCTTAACAAAATTTTATGTTGATTAACTCTTTCCCTCAGTATCATTTCTTCTTTGACCATATTCAACTGTGAAACTTCCTGTGCTAACTTGTTATAACTTTTTAAAGCATTATGATGCATATAATGTATGCTTATATAACCGAAGTAGACATAAACATGCCAATTTATATGTATTTCTGCACGTGCTTTCAAGCAGGTGTTAGGTTAAATATTAATCAGTTATTCGAGATTGTTAGATTTGTGCTGAAATTAATGCATTTGGTGACTGTGTTTGAGCTCTGAAAGCATCTTTATTTTCTTGAAGCTTAGTCATTGTTTTTCAAAAATAACTCGACTCACAGGTTCCTTCCTACGTTTTGATGGACATGCCACATGGTGGTGCATCATCTGTTGAGTCTTTATCACTTTCTCCTTTGGGTGAAGCTTGCCTCAGAATGGATTTGACGGCTATACACGAGATACTGGAAAAGATTGGCTACAAGGACGATGAAGGAACAGCAAATGAGGTTTGGTTTTAATTGTTTGGATTGCTCATGTTTCAGTTATTCACTATTGATAGTTCTTGTTGGCGGCATGTTTTTGGGTTCACATTTTTTTTTGACCTTCAGGTTGTATCAAACTTGAATTTGATTGTGCAAGGAATTCTATGTTAACTTATATGATCAAAATATACAACTACAAAAAGCTTTTATTCTACTACATAGGGTCAGCTATATGAATCATTTTTCTTCCTTATATTCTACTAAGAGTTAAACTCTAATTTAAATCTTAAAAAAACATTATTGATAATACTTTCTAACCAAGTCTTTTTAGGTCCACCTCTACCTTACTTAACATAGGTAGGATCTAATATATCTACTCTCCTAACAGAGTCATTAGAAGGCTGACATTTTTTGTGACCAAACCATTTAAAACAGCTCTCTCTAATCTTTTTTTTTCCACGGGAGCTGCTTCTATCTTTTCACATATATGTTCTTGTTTCACATTCTATCTCTAAGTGTAAAGTCACTCAGCCACCTAAGCACCATCTTTGCAACACTTAGTTTAATTTTATGGTTCTCTTTTAATGGCCAACATGCTACGCCATAAAGCATTGCAGGTCTTACCATCGTCTTATAAAATTTTACCTTAAGTTTAAGGTGTACTTTTCTATCACACAATATGCTCAATGCATTCCTCCACTTCAACCATCTAACTTCAATTCTACTAATAATATCCTCATCTATTTTATCATTGCTTTGAACAATAGAGCCGAGGTATCTAAAATATGCACTCTTTTTAATGGCTTGATCACCTAATGTCAAAATCCCACTACTAGATCTATGACTACTAAAATTACACTCAATGTCAATAATCCCTATTTAAATCTTCTCAAAAAAAAAAAAAAAAAAAAAAAAAAAAAAAACATTTAGACTCTAATGTTGACCTCCATAATTCAAGTTTTTTATCGACTCCCTCTCTAGTCTTATCAACATGAAGAATATTCTCAACAAAAAAATTAAACCAAGGTACATCCTCTTGCAAATGTTTAGTAAAAACATCCATGACTAAAGCAAAAATATTTAGATGTGAAGATGATCCTTGATGTAATCCAATTAAAATAGAAAAATACTTGATCAAATTACCTTATGTTTAAACACAATAACTTCTTTATACATATCCTTAATAACTTTATTATAAGCATTATTAACTCTTTTCTCTTTTAGAACTCTCGAGAGCACTTCTATTGAAACTTTATCATATGCTTTATCTAAATTAATAAATATCATATGTAGATCCTCCTTACTTTCTCTATACTTCTCCATCAAACCACTCAACAAATATATAGCTTCCATAGTAGACGTGTCTAATATAAATCAAAACTAATTTTGAGAAACGTTAGTAGCACGTTGTAATCTATGCTCAATTATTCTCTCTCATAGTTTTAATGTATGATGCATAACATAATTCTTCTATAATTCATACACTCTTCTGCATCAGATTTATTCTTAAAAATAAGAACCAACACACTTTCTCCATTCTTCTTTTATCAACTAATTAATTAATTGAATAAAGAATACAATAAATTAAAATTCCCTTTAATGAATTAATTGATTAATTAAATTGGAGTGCAATTAAAAAACAAACAAGAGGGTAGAACCACTTTGTTACAATTATACATTGAGCTAATTAATTAATTGGTTAATTTAAACAATAAAATTTCTTTTAAATTAATTAAATATTAATGCGACCAATTAAAATTTCTTAAGTTTAAAATGCAATCAATAAAAAATAGAAGAGCAGGGAAAGCATAAAGCAATGTTTGTACTAAATTCCTCTCTTGTACAAAACTACACACAAACTCAAGCTCAAACTCAAAAAAGAATCCAACCAAACTATAACAAAGCTCTCTAACTAACACAAAGTAGCAAAGCTCCAACTCTAACAAGCTCCTTCATGTGCGGGCTCCAAATACGTGCAAGTAAATAAACAAAGGGTGATTTAGTACTGTAACAAAATAGCATTGCGAAAGAAAGTGCGGTAAAAAAACTTAAACTGCTGAAACAAGAAACAATAGTACTAAGTGTCAAGGCAGTAGATTGTGCATAACTAAGTATCTGCTGTCAAAATTCACTCTTAATCAACACATATAGGTAACTTCTAAAGAAGCTGTAAATCCTATTCTAAAACTACTTCATCGTGCAAAACTCCTAAGTGAAGTAATGAACACCTCAACTTAAAAATTACAGGTAACTTCCAATGGAAGTAGCAATACATGTCCTAAATAGAACTTGCAGGTTTCTTTCAAGGAAAGTGGTAAGACCTATCTCCATCTGTTACATGCAAATTCCAATAAAAGTCACAAGACCTATCCAAAACTAAAATTTCAGGCAACTTCCAATGTTAGTAGTAAACCTACTGTTCAGGCAACTCCTAAGTGGAGCCGTAATCCCCGAGCCAAATTAAATCTACGGGAAACTCCTAAGTGGAGACGTAAGGCCCAACCTAATTCAAATTACCGGGCAACTTCTAAAAAAAGCCGTAAGTCCCATCCTAAATTCAATCTACGGGCAACTCCTAAGCAAAATTGTAAGCCCTAAACCAAATTCAATCTATAGGTAACTCCTAAGTGGAGCCGTAAGCCATAACCTAAATCTAAACCTCTAGGAAACTTCTAAGAGGAGCCATAAGTCCCATCATAAATCTAAACATTTGGGAAACTCCTAAGTGGAGCTATAGGCCCCAAACTTAAATTATAACAAAACAAAAACTTTCATTTAACCACCCAGTCTACTCGAGATTTCTGAGAGGAGGCAATCTATAGCTACTAACCAGATTTCCCAAATGTTGCAACCAATGGTTTGTTAGTGTTGGTAGATTGAGATTCATGGTTAATTACCTTGATTAAAGTTTTCTTCCTTGTCCAATTGAGACTCCCACCAATTTGATTCTTCCTATAAACAATCATATACTATTCTTTCAGTAAAAAATAAAAATTATGCATTTATATTATTTTTAATTTGAACATGAAATAAAAATTTAAATGACTTTCTCACTTTCCTTGTCTTCAAAAATGAAGGCTCAATAACTCTCACGTCGAGCACTGATCTGATGACAAACTCTCAACAATAAACAACTCTCTTTCTTAATTTTTCTGCTTTACAAAATCTCTCTTCCTCTCTTCCAATTTCCTCTCCTCTCAATCATTGCCTCCTTTCGGTTGCTTCCTTCTTTTGATTGTCTTGTTCCATCGGAGTGAGCGATATTTGATATCTCACGCGAGGAGTCTCGCATTTATATGCTCACAATGCCCTATTTCGCTCGTTCAAGCGATTCAATCCCAAGCTTGCTCGCCTGCACTCGCTCGCACCTACTCACGCTTGCTTGCTCACCTCGCTTGCTTGCTCACCTCGCTTGCTCGCCCGCACTGTAGTTAGGGGACCGGTTCTAACCATTTCAATTGAACCGGTCCAACAAACTGCTGGTTCTTACACTTGATGTGGACTTAAATTCTAAATTTTAATTTTTTGACATAGATCTTTTGGGTTAACATTTTTAGATTTTGTTATTTTGTAAGATCTATTCTTCTCAATTTCATAAAATTCATTAGCATATTATTAGAAGTGTTTAGGAGTTGTTATTTTTTTTTAATTTATAAATAACGACAAGCAATCACTCACCAACAACATCTGACATGGAACGTTCGTCTCCATCTCAGGTCCACAACTCACCGTGAGATGCTAACAACAAGATTAATCTTAGCCTTACATGTATACAGTAGCTGCACCATTTCACCAATATATACATAGCTATATGCAATACAAATGTATTTCACAAACTCATCTTTACACAGAAATGAAGTATTACCTTTATGCAGCTTTTACTGTCTCTGTTTCTGTTACCACTGCACTTGTCTCTGTTTTCTCTTAACTTTAGCTTTGATCACATGGTATCAGAGCACCTGGTTCACAGCCCATTGCAGATCCAACATCATGGCGACCTCCTCCTCCCATACAGACAACACATCGGCAGACACATCATACGTCGATGTCCCCATTCCCTCTTCTCTAAAATTTTTTATCTCTAATATCTAAACCATTGTTCCCCTTCCCCTATCAAATGACAACTACCCAACTTGGACATCCCAAATCTTCAAACTATTTCGTACAAATGGCTATGTCGACTTCCTCAACAGAACCTCTCCACTACCTTCGCACATTATAGCTGATATCACCGAAACCTTTACCCCTAACCTGGCCTACAATAGGTGGACTGACATCGACCATAACCAATCTGCGGCCATTTGCTCAACTGTTTCACCCGACATACTTTCCTACATCCTTCATCTCGACACTTGTGCTGACATCTGGAGTACCCTAGAATGTCGCCTTCAGGCGACAAAACAGGTCCCGAGTCATACAACTTGAAAAACGAGCTTCACAACGTTTCCATGGGCACTGTCACCTTGCTCCAGTACCTTACAAATGTGAAGATGCTCATGGACAATATTGCAACCGCTGGCTGTTCGATTGATTTAAAGGACATCTTACTCTACACACTCAACGACTTGCCCCCTCAGTACTAGGCCTTCAAAACCTCTATCAGAACAAAACTAACACCGATCAGCCTTGGAGATCCTTCACTCTTCTACTAAGTGAAGATATTAACCTGTCTTAGGTTTCAGCCAAGGAACCAACCTCTTCCAATCTTCACACTGCATTATACTCCTACCGTGGCAGAGGTTGAGGTCGTGGCCGTTTCACAAACTCCTCTTCTCGAGGTCGAACATTAGAGCTATCATCCAACCACCCTGCCAACCCCAGCTCTCCGGTTTGTCAGGTTTGTGGGAAACGAGGATACACTGCAAATGTATGCTTGCTTAGACTTAACACTCAACACCCAACACCGTCTGCTGCCCTTCTAGCCTCCACCCCCAACCCTCCAGCGATTGGATAATCGACTCGGACACCTCTTCACATCTCACCAACAATCTTGACAACATCACTCTTCCAATCGAATATACATGCCCAAACTCCGTCTATGTTGGTGAAGGTCGTTCCCTCCCAATTGCTCAATATGGACAAGGCATCCTCCCTACTCCCAATCTTAAGCTTCTACTACCTAATTTGCTACTTCTCCCTCACATTTCTCACAAATTACTCTCAGTTTCCAAACTTACAAAAGACAATAACATCTCTATTCTCTTTGATGCTTTCGTTTTCCACTTCAAGGATCCGACAACCAACTCCACAATTCTATCAGGTCCCAGCCACGACGGGCTCTACCACCTAGCTTCTCAAAAACTCCTGCAACAATCACACTCTCACGGCAATATCTCAAACCTCGCTTTGATGGCATGACCATCTTGTACATCCACATCACCAAACAATCAATACCATCTCCAAACAACACAGTTCTTTAGCTATTCCTATCTCTTCTACATCTAGTATATCTTGCTCCTCATGTAAGGCCTCTAAAGGACATAAGCGACCTTTCTCTTGGTCCAAAAATCATAACTACAAATCTCTAGAATTACTACACACTGATGTATGGGGACGCTCCCCAATTGCTTCCACCCAAGGTTTTAAATTTTATTTACTTATTGTTGATGATTGTACTTGTTTCATTTGGGTCTTTCCATTAATGTATAAATCTCATGTGTTTGCAATATTCATCAAATTTCATTCTACCATTGAAAAACGGCTATCCTACACTGTCAAATACTTGCACAGTGATGGCGGCAAAGAGTTCGTCAATCATTCCTTAAAAGCAATCTAACCATTCATGACATTTCCCACCAGATCACCTGCTCATATACACCGGAACAAAATTGCCCTGCCGAAAAAAAACTTCGCTTCATTCTTGAAACCACACGCACCCTACTCCATACAGCCCACCTCCCCTATTACCTATGGCTTGACACCCTACTCACCGTTGTTTATCTAATCAGCCTCCTACCCTCAACCACCAAATCAAACAAATCTTACAACAAATCATTACCCCATTCTCATCTCCGCACATTCAGCTGTGCATGCTTCCCCTTGCTACCACCACCCGCCTTCCACAAACATTCCATAAAATCAACCCCTTCTGTCTTCATCGGCTACGCCTCATTCTCCAAAGGCTATAAGTGCCTTGATCCCACCACTGGCCACATTCAAATATCCCGCCATGTCACATTTGACGAATTTACATTTCCCTACCAAAATCTCAAAACCGAACCTGCCAACTCCTCTCCCACCGACTCCTCTCACTGCAACCCCAACCTGCTTCTCCCAACTTCAATCCCCCAACTAACTCCTACAACATTACCCTCCACAAACCAATTTCCCTTACCCAAACCTCAACCAGCCTCTGCCGCACTATCATCCATCAACACACCTACCGAGCTCCACCATCCTGATCTCCCAACCAATCCCCCTATACACCAAATGATAACCCGTTCCAAAACCGGTCACTCAAACCTCGCGCCATATTCAACTTAACTCACCTGACCTCCCAACCACCCTTCGACCCAACCACATACACTGAAGCGTCCAAACATTTCCATTGGCACTCAGCTATGGCCACTGAGTTCCTAGCCCTCCGACAACAATGCACATGGATCATTGTTCCACCTCCCCTCAACACACCTATTCTTGGGTATCGTTGGACCTACAAAATCAAATGACACACTGATGGATCTGTTGCTTGATATAAAGCCCGCCTTGTAGCTCAAGGCAATCATGAGGAATATGGCCTTAACTATACCAACACATTTAGCCATGTAACCAAATTCCCCTCCATTCAGGTTCTCCTTTCCATAGCCATCACCTATACATGGTCAATTCATCAACTTGACATCACAAATGCATTCTTACATGGCTCAATCAATGAGACCGTCTACATGCAACAACCTCATGGCTTTGAAGATTCCCAAAACCCTCACCACATATGCCTTCTCCAAAAATCCCTTTACGGCTCGCCAATGGTTCAAAACATTCTCATCATGTATTCTCTCCTTCGGTTTTCATCATGGTAAAGCCGATCCCTCCCTCTTCTCATTTCACCAAAATCATACTCAAGTATATCTCCTAATCTGTGTCGATGACATCCTGCTCACTGGCAATAATCCTCAAGCACTTTTCAATATTCTTACCTCTCTTCAAAATCACTTCTCAATAAAAAATTTTGGATTCCCTTCCGACTTTCTTGGAATTCAGATATCTCATCACAACAATCAATTACACCTTTCAAAATACTCATATGCTCAAACCATCCTAAAACAAGGCGGTTTACTCAACTGCAACTCCCTCAACAATCCTTCATACCTCAAACCACCAGCTACAATCCCACACGATGTTCTCTTCTCCGACCCCACAGTATACAGACAGCTTACCGGATCTCTTCAATACCTAACCATCACTCGCCCCGACATAGCTTTTGCTGTCAACACTTGATGTCAATACATGCATTGTCCACTTTCCCAACATTTCCATCTCCTCAAGCATCTTCTCCGGTATCTCCAAGGTACCAAACACATGTAGTCCCATTTGCAAATCCTTCCTTCTCCTCTCAGCTTACTCAGATGCAGATTGGGCCTCAGATCCAATTTCTCGCAGATCAACAACAAGTTACTGTACATTTCTTGGGGACAATCTCATCTCATGGAAAATTAAGAAGCAACCAACTGTCGCCCGGTCTTCAACAGAGGCTGAATACAGAGCTATAGCAGCAGAAATCATCTGGTTCTGACGGCTTCTCACAGATTTTCGCATTCCTCTAAAATAGACGATCATCTACTACGATAACACCTCTACAATAGCTCTAGTTAATAATCCCGTCTTCCACGCTCACACAAAGCACATTGCCGTGGACTACCACTTCATTTGGGATCGCCTACAGGCAAAACAAATTGCCTGTCACACCAGTAACATCCACCGATTAGACATCTGACATCCTCACCAAACCATTACCCACTCCAAGATTTCAGCTTCTTCGCTCCAAACTAACAGTTTAATAATGACATGTTGATTCATTAGTTTGCGGGGGCCTAACAACAAGCAATCACTCACCAACGGCATCTGACATCGAACGTTCGCCTCCAACTCAGTTCCACAGCTCACCAGCTCACCGTGAGATGCTAACAGCCAATACTAATCTTAGCCTTACATGTTTACATCAGCTGCACCATTTCACCTATATATACATAGCTATATACAGTACAAATGAATTTCACAGACTCATCTTTACACAGAAATGAAGCATTACCTTTCCGCAGCTTTTACTATCTCTGTTTCTGTTACCACTGCGCTTGTCTCTGTTTTATCTTTAGTTTAGCTTTTCTCACAATAAACATAGGAATTTATCAGACAAGAATAAAATTCTTATCGTGGATCAAGTATGAGACTTGAGAGAATTTCAGGATAACTCATCTCCTCGTGCATGTGTGAACATTTCTTATCTTTTTTTTTTAATCTTTTAATCTTGTACATCTTCTGTGTCTCTTTTTTGGTTTATCTTCAAGGATATCCTGCATCGGACAGGAAAGAAGTGAACTCCCGAGCATTGTCATTACCAATTATACAAATAGGGACATCGAATTTTTCTTGTTTTATTTGATATGCACTTATTAAATTTTGCCAAATACTAGTTTGTTTAGATTCTAAAACAACATTTACAGATTTTTGTAGAAGGGTAATTTACAGTTGAGTCCCAGATTTTTCATAATGTTAAACTCGGGTCCCTAATTTGATTCAGGGAACACTTTGTTTTCTCACTTTTCGCAAAAATATGCGGTCCTTTATGTTAATTGGACAACAGATTATCCTAACAAATCCTACCTGTGAGTTCAGCACAATTTGCAACAGTTTCGCCTTTGTATTCAAGCAATTCTCGTCGCACACCTTTTGAAATGCCCTTTATAGACAGGTTATTGGCAATTTTAAAGTTAGTTTAGAAAAAATTAGTTTAGAAAAAATATTGAACTAAGAAAATTATTGGATAAATAAGGGAATTCTAATAACTACTTGGCGATACCAATAATGTAGATGATGGCAAATGTTCAAAACGAACGTTCAGAATTTTTCTAGAACATGTTGGATCAAGATATTTTCAAAGCTACGGGGGACCTAAGTGTTGCTTTGGACAGCAGCGATGTTAAAACTGTAATAATGTAAGATGCAGTCGCAATATATATTTTCTATATTATTTGTAGTAGTTTATATCTACAATACTAAATTTTCTTCTTGAATTCATAATGCTCACCTCAATAATTTTGATCTCGTCATGACTAATATTCAAAATGGCTTCCCTTCTTTATTGCTTTGTTTGGAATTGATATAATACAAGTGTTGAATATTAATATAACTATCAGCAGTCTGTATTTTCTTAGTACTTATCTAATCTACTTCCAGCTTTCCTTTCAAATGTGGACCAATCAAATGCAAGAGACTTTGACATCAAAGAAAAAGGGTGATGCTGCATTCCGGCATAAAGATCTGAATACTGCAATTGAGTGCTATACTCAGGTTGCTTTTTTATTTCATCTAATTTTCAAGTTTATTTTACTGCTTTGGTATATGCATCTTCCACATTTTTTGTTCTTAATGATCTTTGTAGCTGGATTTGGAAAACGGATACCCTGAAGTAGTATCTAATTGCATTTTCTAAAATTGTGACCAATATGGGTGCTGAACACTCATTCAACTCCCTAGGGGCCTAAAACTTGAAGCCATGATGCCAACTGCTAGTAAACCTGTTTAAAGAAGATTATATTCATATTTGCGAAAAAAAATTCGTGCTATTGACATTTAAAATCATGTGTATTAGCATATGATGCTTATTATGAATTAATACTAGGAAATCATTATATTGTCTGAGTGTATAATTTGGGATTAATCTAATTTGATTCACTCTTAAGTATACTTATTTTGCTCATTTATTTTCTTCCTATTTTAATCATCATCTATACTTAGGCATCATTAGTCAGTTAATAAGATCCTGTAATTATCTCCCCCCATTACAACGAGCCCCTCAGTTTGTGATTTGTCTATATTATTATAAATCTTTAATGGGCATGGTGAAATAAATTATAACCTGAGACTTTCAACATGTAAACTAGAAGAGACGTACAGACTTTGAATTGAGTAATAATTCTATGGTTCATTTTTACCTTAGGAAGTACATTAACGATAAAAGGCTTAAATTCTTTCCATGTATCAACCACTGATCTCTTCTTTCAAGTGGGTTTCTTGATATTATGTATGTTTGACTTTTACATTTCCCCTTATTCCTAACAAGTAATTTCTATCAAATAATCTTCTCTTTTACAATTTAAAGCTCTCTATGAGTCCATCTGAAGACTCTCCAATCTATCATGACATGTTTCTTAGGCATCGCCATACAAATATAGAGTTCCTTTGTTATTCAAAGTATAGGATTCAACACAATCAAGGCACCAAAAATGGTCGTCAGGTTGGGAAACCATGCGAAGATGACATTGTAGAAGTATTCCCTGCCTCAAATCTCTGGTCAAACATTACTCTGAATGAATTCAATATTTAGTATTAAAAAGTTTTGGTTGAACTTACGTGGAGTTTCGTTGCAAGTTGAATTTCACTCAAGTATGATTTGGTAAATCTGTAAATCCGACTTAGTAAATCCTATGTGGATTAAATCCTGAAAACTATTTGGTAGAATAGGTGCTAAATCTTATTAAATCCAAGTAAACTATTTTGTAATTTATTTCGGGTTTCAAGGATTTTTATGTTTGTGATTTTTTATTATATTAGTCTAGCCTATATTAATATTAATTAGATTAATTAAATCATAATTAGCATAAGATAATACTTTATTTAATCATTGATTAATAAATAATAATATCTGATTAGTCAATTTAAATAAAAAATACTAATTTAAGTAAGTTAATATTTTTTTAATTTAGTAATATTAATCATTAATATTGTGGGCTCCGAAAATTCGGCCCCGGCCTCCGCTCGCAGCGCCGATTTCAGCGGGATTCGCGGATTTCTTCGACGAATACGAGGTACGAAGCGAGATTTCTGCATGATTTCAGCTGGAATTGAGGATCCGATGGGCAATGTATGATTTTGAACTTCTCTCTTTTTTTGTTGTTTCCCTTGGATTTAGTATACAGGTCAACAAATATTGATTAATTTTTATCAATTCTAATTACCCTAATGAAATTATAATTATCATAGCTTAATACTTTAATTACTAATTAATTAATTATTTGTAAATCTAACTAAGCATAATAATTTCTATTAAATCAAATTAAATCATAAATATTGTTAATTAACTTATATGTTTTTAATCAATTATCAAACAATATTCTTTCTATTTGTCTAAATGTTACGATCCGGCCTGGAGGCTCGAATTAATAAGACGGGAACAGACAGTCGGACGGTTATTACAATCCTTTCAATAACATTAACTTCTAAACATATTGATATCCAACAACATAAGAGCCACTAAAAAAATAATTTCCAATTTGAACATATAACAAATTAACTCTAACATATTTTTATTTGAACATCTTATGTACACGAACTCTTCTCTTTCAGTCATTTAATCCACAAGAGTTTTATCAGACATTTCAATTTACTGAAGAGAGTTTTTCATAATAAACTTAGCAGATAATTGCAACTTATAATATAATAATTAAACATACATATAAGTAATCATGTTCTTTTGTCATAATTTTTATTTAATATACATATGAATATTTAATATAAATGTATATTAAAGTTTTATTTCCTTACATTAATATTTCATTTATTACAAAAGCACCATCAATTTTTTTTTTTTTGGTATCAAGAAAGGTACTACCTTATTCATTTTCATTACTTTTTACTGTTTTATTTAATGTGCACGAGTAAATTAAGTCCCCAGTCATTACCATAAGAGGGTGAATTCCTCCATTTGCATGCTTATACATTTTTCTTATTTTTACACTTTCATTTACATGTTATGATTCATTTTATTTGTTTCATTTTTCTTTGATTTTATATATTAATCTATATATGCATATATTAATATCATTTTGTAAACTTTAATTGCTTAATTTTCATCATTTTGACGCATAATAGACACTCAAACTTTAATAAATACATAGGCATGATACCATATTTAATAATTAAAATGAATCAACAAAAGAATGAAATTACTATATAATAAACATAATCACTCACTTCGTTGTTTTTTTGCTGAAATCCTTTCCAAACTTTTACAATTTCTAAATATCCTCTTTAATGCAATACTTAGGTCACATACACAATTACATAAATTTAAACGGTTATCTTAAAACTAAACTCTAATTAATTGAAAAAAAAAAAATTCTATGAATATGTATGTAATCTTACCTAATCTCCCCTTGTGATCACTTGTTGATTTCAGTACTTTACCTTAGTTCAGCCATTTAAATACATTATTGTTCGAAAATAAAATCAATTATATTTTATTTAATATTAAGATTTAACTTGGATGATTCAAATATCATCAAACCAACATCAATTATTTCTTACATCGCTTAAGATAATATAGACTACTTGAAACATAGCCAAGGGCGACTTTAAACCAATTGAATTTCATTAAAACAACATCGGATGTTTCTAAATTATCACACCACAATTTCTATTACCTTATCTACTTTTAATCCCCTAACAAAATCTGAAATTAAATATTTCTTAAATTATGTTAATTACCTCAATTATTATTCCTCTTTGTCAAGTCAAAACATTCACCGACTACACTTATACCTGTAGAGAAATTTTGCAGCAGCAGATACATACAACAATATAATTTTCATCCTTCAAATTTGAACAAAAAAAATCTATTACTCTTTCCCCCTCCACGGAATAGGAACTCGCAATTCTTCTTCCTTCTTCTTCTTACTTCTTCCTCTTGCCAAGCGCATATCTATCGATTAATACTCAACAATGTCCTTAAATTTTCTCTCTTCCAATTTCTTTTCTTCCTCACAGTCACTGCTCCCTATTCGATTTCTTTCATTTTGTGAAACTGGACCGAGCGAAAAGGATTTCTCCCTCATGAGGAGTCACCTATTTTCGATTACGTTCATGCAATTCGCTCGGCCGTTCGACTACACGCTCACTCACCCACTGGTTCTCTGGGTCACCCGTGCTTTAGCTTAAGGGACTGGTTCAATTGAACTAGTCCAACCGGTTCTCACACTAAACCCCTTAAATATGTTGAACTGTAGGATTTATTAAATCTGGTATTTAGGTTGAGAAAAAGGTAAATGGGACTTAGAAATGCATAGGATTTATTATTATTATTATTTAAATTTATTTAGCAGGATTTATGGTAAATCTTTCTTAAATCCACCTACCAAACAGCTCCTTTGTCATTTCTTTCATGATGCTTAGATGAAGATGAACCTATTGTATGGTTTTTATAGATAAATTATCATTTATGCAGTTCATTGATGTTGGAACCATGGTTTCTCCGACTGTATTCGCTCGTCGCAGTCTGTCCTACCTGATGATTGACAACCCCCAGGAGGCACTTAATGATGCAATGCAGGCCTTACTTATATGTCCAACATGGCCAACTGCATTGTATCTACAATCCGCTGCCCTTTTTGCACTTGGAATGGAGAATGAAGCTCGAGAAGCACTCAAAGATGGATCTTCCTTAGAAGCTAAAAAGAATGGGAGTTCTGGGCGCTGAAGCCAGAGTAAACTAACAGTATGGCTTTATAGAAACTCCTTGTACTTCAAGTTAGTCTTCCACATTTTGAGGTTTTCATTATTTTTACGGAAAATGGTCCCCCTCACTTCAATTTTTTTAAAAAAATGTGTGAGGATTCTGGTGAACTCTTTTTTTTTTTTATCAATTGATTCCTCACTTGTCCAAGGACTGAATCCATCGGTTTGAGGGATTTACATAGTTGCATTCATTGAATAGTGAAATGATTTTTGGTAATGTTTAAAACCTTTCAAGCACATTATGTGTATATATGTGGTGGCTACAGAGATGCCGTTGGTAGATATTCAAACCAATAAAGCTGTTTCCATTGTGAAGGAATTGTTGAATGTGTATCTCGATACTGCTGTAAGCATATTTGTACATCAGCGTATGATTAAATTGTTTTTCTCTCTTCTTGGTGGCTTTCTTTTTCTATTTCGTTCAAAGAGACTTGTCTATTATTCAGAACCAACACCAAGTTCTGCAATACTGCTTGCAGTCTCTTCCCTTTTAGGTTTTGTTTGAGACAATTTTTTTGCTACTTCTTAAAACAAATTTTTAGTAAAAAAAAGAAAATTTTTTTACTAAAAAGTTGCTTTGAGAAGCAATAAGAAAGCCGTCCCAAACGAATCCTTGTTTAATTTTTCTCAATTTGATACATGCGAAATTATATATGAACTTTGAAAAGCAATATATCCTTTCTACTCTTTCACAATGTTGCAAGTTGCACAGAAGCTGAAGGGAGTGTTCAATTCTGTGATGACATGATTGATCAGTGCAGTCAGTAAGTGTAAACAGGCTTTGTACCTGAGTTTATGTTCTGTTAAAATAAAGACGAAAAATCAAATATGAAATCGCCAACTTTTTGCAATCCTTCGCAAGTGGATTATCTTCATTAGTATCTCTCTATTGCTGACCTGTGACCTCTTATGGGCGTACTTCAAAGCCATTGGTTTCCAAATCTCTTAGTGACCGTTTGGTTTGATTTATTAGACGTCTAAAATAACAAAAAAATAAGAAACTTTTTCCTGTATCAGTTTACAAGCAGCAAAATTTACCTGTCAAATCAAAAATATATTGAATTTAGTTTATATTCGTTATGTTATCAAATTACGTACGTTTTTAGGCAACCTGCAGATATAAGGGAAAAGGAATAAGCACGTAATCAACGTTGCCCTCTTTACACATAAAGGAAGAATAAGCTTAACGTGCTCAATTCAAAATAAGAAAAGGTCAGTATTTATTCCAACACGTTATGTATGCTGGCATGCTGCTATACTTTTTAAGATTATTTTGGAATTTTTATTATTATTTTATTTTTCAGGTTATAATGATAAATTTTTTTATTTAGATATTATTTTTTCATTACTTAAAACAAATTATATTATAAAATTTTTTTTACAAGAGTTTAAAAATAAAATACTGTCTTCATAATAATATAATACTTATTTTTATATAAAATTGTAGCCGATTCAAACTAACTCTTAGGCTCATTTTGGATAGCTTTTTGCTGTTTTTTAAAGTGATTTTTTAATAAAAAAATTAAGATTTTTGCATTAAAAAATTATTTTAAGAACCAATAAAAAAAATCATCCCAATGAAACCTTAGTTCAGTTGGCAAATTTTTTGATCAGTTGAGATTAACAAAATATCATATATTTTACGGTTACTAAATAGTCTAAAATTATTTTATGTATACATTTAAGGCAAACTCACACACACAACGCATACACATGGACTCGAACCTTGAACCTTTTAGTTGAAAGCATAAGCTCTCAACCAATAGGCCAAGGGGAGTTGTGTATAGTGTGAACAGATGGGATTTTTATTTGGTCCGGTGCAAGGACCTAGAGGAAGGTTCGGTTTTGCCTAAAAAAGTGCAAATACCGAGTTTTTTGAAAAAATACCGAGTTTTTTGAAAAACTCGGTATTTGCACTTTTTGACCTATTTTTGCCTAAAACCGAACCTTCCTCTACATCCAATAAAAGGACCTAATAATTACTCCAACAGATGATAGTCGTAACAGAGAAACAGTGGGGAGCTGTAAAGTTTTTTTCTTATTCTATTAAATTGGACCACATGGAATTCCCGAAATCAACGGTGAGATTGTATGCTTTGCTCTGATAGTCCACAGGGTACACGTGGCGTCGCCTGAAGCCATAGAACCGTAGCACAGCAAAGCCGACCGAACTATCCGGAGGCGTATACGGAAATGATTAGATGAGCCAAAGCCAAACTATTTCTTCTCTCTGTCTCTGTTTCTTTCTGCGCCGTCCGATTCGTTTGTTGCAGCCAACTCCCAATCCCTTCCAGGTTTTTCTTATCCTCAGTTTTTCCCCAATTTGTAAATCTTAGGTTTTGTTTTTGTTTATTTTTGTTCTAATTCGGATTCTATAATCTTATTTGGCAAATTGTTTTTTTTTCTCTCATTTAAGGGCTGTTTGGCAATAAGTAGATGATTTAATAAATTCTGTAAATCCTAATTTAATAAATCCTACTAAAATTAAATCCGGAAAATTATTTGACAAAATAAGTATTAATTCCTGTTAAATCCTATAAAATTATTTGGTAATGTAATATTAGTTTTAATAGATTACTTATGTATTTTAATTTAAATTATTATCAATAAATTATAATTATAAATAATAAAATTAAAATTTTAGTTTTATTATTAAATAACTTAACTAATAATAAAATTATTATTTTGAATATTAATTATTTAACTTAAGTAATAATGTAACTTAAGAATATTAACTACATTTATTATCTAATTATTATTATAAATATTAATAACTTAACTAATTATATTTCTATTATTATTTAAAAATAATTACTAACTAATTACAGTCAACCATTTGCTTCTTCTCTTTCGATAGCCTCAGTCATTTCTCCATTTCTGATTTCTTCGTTGCTGTTCGACGTGAGGTAGCGTTTCGAACGAGTTGCTAAACTAAAAGCCTTCTTCGCCTTCTTTGACGACGATCCTTTCAGTTCGCCGTTCTTGCTGTTGGATCGGAAGTAGCGACGGGAGCTCGCTCGCTGTGAAGGTAACTATCTTTCTCCCTTTCGCGCGCTTCTTCAGCCAAATCCCGTAAATCCACCGAACTCCAGGATTTAGTAAATCCAGGATTTACGGCAAAAAGAGGGAAACGGAGGATTTATCCCTCCTTGAGATCTGAATTTAGTATAAATACTGCTTAAATCCTGTTGCCAAGCAGCCCGTTACTGTGATTTTTGTGTTCGATTCAGTTTCAGATCTGTCTGTGTTCGGCTTTTGTTGTGGGTCGAGTTTGTTTTGTTCATTCTTTTTTTTTTCCGAATAATAGGTTTCATATTTTGGTTTTTTAGGGTTTCTGCCCGGGAAGTAAAGGTACTTGAATCCTTCAGGGGGTTTTAAGATCGAATATATCTGTTACTTTCTGCAAAAATTGAAGAAGATTACCAAAATAAAGGGTTTTTTTAGAGGGGAAATTTTCTGGTTAGATTTGTGTTACCTCTGTGAAATTTAGTCTGCCATGGTGATTGATTCGATTGGTGCTTCTACATCACTTATTGGATGCCGCCCGCTCTACAAAAGGGCTTCCTCCTGCAAAAGGCGAATGGAGGTGTGCCCATGGCTTACGACTGAGCTCAAGGGTCGTAGGTTGATCTGCTCAAAAAATTTGATCATTATCACAAACCAAAGATGTGCTTTTTTCCCTTCATTCACAATCAAATCTCTTGCAATGGAGTTGACTAAGGAAGTAAGGCCGGTAGAAGATCAGTTGTCCCGTGGCTTGAAGTACCCTGGTGATACTGTCCTGAACCCTAGCTGGCTATGGCCGCCACCAAACAAGGCTGATAACTCATCCTTGCACAATCCATTGCTTCGGCAAGAAAGAATGGGGTGTGGCTGGTTAGGTGTAATCTTTGAGTGGGAAGGTGTTATTGTGGAAGATGACCCTGAATTGGAGAAGCGGGCTTGGTTAGTTCTAGCTCAAGAGGAAGGAAAATCTCCTCCCCCTGCCTTTGTGTTAAAAAGAATTGAAGGAATGAAGAATGAACAAGCTCTTTCAGAGGTCCTTTGCTGGTCTCGAGACCCTTCTCAGCTCTGTCGGTTAGCCGCTCGCAAGGAGGAGATACAACAAAATCTTCAGGGTGGATTCTATCAGATACGATCTGGGTCACAAGAGTTTGTGAGTACTCTTATGAAACATAGAATCCCTATTGCAGTGGCATCAACACGACCCCGAAGAGTCCTTGAGAAAGCAATGGAGGCTGTTGGGTTGCAAAATTCATTAGACGTAATTGTCGCGGCAGAGGATGTGCATAGAGGAAAGCCAGATCCTGAGATGTTTGTGTATGTTGCACAGCTCCTTAATTTTATACCGGAGAGGTGCATTGTGGTTGGGAATTCAAACTCCTCAGTGGAGGCTGCTCATGACGCAAGGATGAAGTGTGTTGCAGTAGCTAGCAAACATCCATTGTATGAGCTTGGAGCTGCAGACCTTGTGGTGCGACAGCTTGATGAGCTCTCTATTGTTGATTTGAAGAACCTTGCCGCTGTTGAATCCCCAGAATTTGATTCAGGTGAGCCAGATTTGGAATTGGAGGAAGAAGACGAGCCTCCTGCTTCATCTGTTGCTGTCGATGATCACTTCTGGTAAGTTGAATTATCATTGTATAGTTTACAGTTTATTTCCTGATTGGTTAAAATTTAATAAACTGGAGCAGCTAGGGATTGGTGACCTTGTATATGGTTAATTTAATGTCAAATGCTCTAATTACTGGATGTTTGTAAATATGAAGTAAATGCAGTAAATATAGATCGTTTATTGTATATTTCACTTTGCGCTACACTTGTGTTGAACTATGCATTCTATGTACATGTATTGCAAGTTTATTAGATTTGCGCTGAAGGACATTTGAAGTAAAGGGTAAATCTATTGAATATGATGGGATAAAAAATACATATATCATCATTATGGTTTCTTGCATAATTTAGATTTTCACTTAAACAATGAATTGGACAGTTTTTTATTTCATGTGTAGCCTTATATACGCTGTTTCTACCTCAATTTTGAACGGGAGTAGTGCATTGTGATGTCTGCTCATGATGAAGTAGTGAAGCTTGTGCAATGACCTGCATGCCACAATTGTAGGTGACTAAGGTAGTTTACATATAAAAGTAAACTTGACACCATGGAACGATCTATAAATTAAAAAGAGCTATAAAGTAGATTCCTAAATTTTTTTCAGTACCTGATATACGATTCTAAGTCTCTAAAAAGTTCCCCTTTTTTATGGCTGGTTATATGATAGGAAACACTTGTAGTTTTCAAGTATTTCCTATCAATCATTGGAAAACAACAAAAATCTTCACAAAATTCCGCACAAAAACAGTAGATAACTTGTATGATTTGATGAAAGGAATGCGGAAAATAGCAAGATACACTTGATCCTCAATTCGAGAGGAGGATCGATCTCTCCCACATCTCTAGGCGCCGCTAGAGCCCAAAGAAAACCTAAATCTAAGAGATCTCAAATTTCAGCCAAATTCAAGATGCCCAAACCCTAGGAAAACAAACTATTTAATGCATACAAATCAAAAGGAAATCCCTAAACAGACCCTACATTCAAATTTCCCTCTCAAAACTCTCAAAAAAGCTTCCTAAAAAGCTCCTACATGGTGTGCGGCTCGCTCGGCATCCCACCCGGTGGAGATTTCTCCGCCCAGTTCGCATTGGGCCTGTCCCGCACAGACCGACTGGACCGGTCCACTGGACCGGTCTAACAATACTCCCCTCCCGAAGATCAACCTAGTCCGCAAGGTGCAAAGACGACACCCTCCATTCCTTCTTCATCACAAACAGTAAAAACTTGAAGAGTTCGGTCCTTACACCTGTGCCCCAGCGTATACCTCTCGTCACATCTGAAATAAAGCCCTTTTGCCCTCTTCTCCTGTAATTCTGTCTCAGTGAGCTTCTTTAAGTTCTCCCCACTCCCTCCTCCTATTGGCTTCTCCCTGGTGGTTTCATTAATGTTGACTGATGCAGACCTCTTGGGTGCTAAAAGAGTGGTTGTAGTCTTGTAAGAGCCTCCTGAGCTGCTGCTCCTGGCTCCATTCTCCATATTATTCTGATTTTCTATCAGCTGTGCCAACTTTATTGCCTCCTCCAAGTCACTAGGCATCAGAACTTTCACTACCGCTCAGATCTCTGCCTTCAACCCCTTCATGAAGTTCCCCTCCAATACGATATCTGATAATCACTCCACCCTACTAGCCAGGTGCTCGAACCGCTCACGGAAGTCTGCTACTGATCCCTCCTGCACCAGAGCAAAGAATTGCTAATAGAATTCTCCTCCCCAGTCAGTTTGGAAACGTTCTATTATGCAGTTTTTGAATTCCCTCCAGTTCCTGATAGGCTTCCTCTGATCTCTCTACTGATACCACGATAGGGCTTTTCCTTCCAAGCACAATCCGGCTGCAGTCAGCTTCTCCTCCTCCGTCAGTCCATTAACGGCGAAGAATCGCTCCACCTTGTAAATCCACCCATACACATCTTCTCCTTCGAATATGAGCATCTTCAACTTCCTCACCTTTTGGTCGCCTCCATTGCCCCGGATTCTTCCATAGTTTTCCCTCTCCCAAGTGCTAGGTGCACCCCATGATTCCCACTATTCCCTTGCTCTACCATAGCCCAAACCCCCTTCGAAATTCCCTCTTATGTCTTCAAAATCAGCACCTCGACAACCATAGTATCCCTCCTGGCGTTCCTTATATCCTCCTCTTTCTTCCCTCTAGACATGCTCCATATGGGGTCTTCTTCCTTCTCCTTTCACGATCTCCACCTCCTCTTCCTCCCTACGAATTTCAGAATTTGTACTTTTTCCCTCCATTCTTTTCGCCACAGAAGCTGATGTTTGGTTATGGATTTCTAACATCTTTTTCATCATGTCTCGTAGATCGGCAACTTGCCCTTCCATGGAGGAAATCCTTTCCTCCACCGTCGTTTTAATTTGATTCATCTTCTCTTCAAGTCTTTCCTCCAGAGCATCCAACTTTTTGGCCACCATCATAATCCTGAGTTTGTAAAATCACAAATTCTGGATTTGGAACTTCAAAAACATCAATTCCCCTTCCTTCCGGGCAATTAATCACCGCTGAAATTTGCCGAAATCAACCCTCCACTGGTCCCATGACTTGCTCTGATACCAATTTGATAGGAAACACTTATAGTTTTCAAGTATTTTCTATCAATCTTTGGAAAACAGCGAAAATCTTCACAGAAGTCCGCACAAAAACCACAAAAAATAGTAGATAACTTGTATGATTTGATGAAAGGAACACGGAAAATAGCA